CGTTCGCAAGCGCAAGTAGCGGGTAGGTGCTTGGCTTGGATAGACTTTTGTTGGTCGTGGTCAGACCAAAGTTCGGTCCAGTGCCAGACTTCGCTCTGTTGACGAGAGGAACGACAGAGACAGTTGTTTGACGTGTGCGATTTCGTCGGGGATGGCCAGAGGAGAAGTAGTAGGAAGACCTGGACAGGACGACGTAAGCTGTGCCACTTGGAGCCTAGGAAGGGAAGGCGCTGACAGACAGCGCGTTCAAGTGTTTTAGACAGGAACGGGAGGAGAGAGACAGGCCTGTAGTTTATAACATCAGACGGGTTGAGAGTGGGTTTCTTTAGGAGAGGGTTTACTCTTGCCTCCTTGAGACTGTTTGGAAAGTGACCAGAAGTTAGAGAAGTATTGATGAAATGGGTGAGAAACGGTAGAATATCAGGAGCGATAGTCTGAAGGAGGTTTGAAGGGATAGGGTCCAGAGGACAGGTGGTAGGAAAGGCTGAAGTAATGAGGGTAAGAACCTCACTTGGAGAGAGAGGGGAAAAGGAGGTTAGTGTGTGGGCGAAGGGAGGGTCTGGTGACCCAGCGACAGGTGACAGTGAGTCAGAAAAAGAAGAGCGAATATCATCAACCTTTTTTTCAAAGTAGTTAACAAAGTCGCTTGACAGAAGGGAGGAGGGGGGAGGGGCTTTGGGGGGGTCCAAGAGGGTGGAAAAGATTGAAAATAGTTGTTTGGGATTGGAATAGGAAGATTGGATCTTATCTTGAAAGAAAGTGCTTTTTGCCTGAGAGATCGAAGCAGAGAAAGAGGAGAGGAGAGCCTGATAGGTTAGGAGGTCGTCATGGTGTTTGGATTTCCACCATTTCCGCTCTGCAGCCGAAAAGGATGGTTCTATTAGCATGCAGTGCGTCATTTAGCCAGGGAGCAGGAGGGGACTGACGAGCCTGCCGAGATGTGAGAGGACAGAGAGAGTCCAGAGAGGATGAGAGAGTAGAGAGGAGAGTTTCTGCAGCAGAGTTTGGAGGCAGAAGTTGGAACGAGTCAGAGGAAGGGAGGGCTGAGAGCACCGATGAGGCAAAGGTAGAGGGGGAGAGGGAACGGAGGTTGCGGCGGACAGGTGCAGGATTAGAAGAGATTAGGTTGTTATGTTTGGAAAGTGGTAGAGAGAATGATATGAAACATAGATCCGAGGTGTGAAGCGGGTTTACAGAGGGGTTAGAAGTAGTGCAAGTTCCTTGAGAATATGAGACCAAGGACATTGCCAGCGTTATGAGTTGGTGGGGATGGAGACAGTGAGAAAGCAAAGGCGGTTAAAAGAGATGTTAGTTCAGCTATCTTCCCTGTCTGGAGGTTGAAGTCTCCGAGAAGTACAGCGGGAGGGCCAGTTTCAGGGATGTGTGAGAGGAGATTATCTAATTCCTCCAAGAAGTCCCCCAAGGCGCCTGGTGGACGGTAGAGAACAACAATGGTTAATTGTATAGGATGTGTTACTGTGACGGCATGGAATTTAAAGGTGGACAGAGTGAAGTTAGGTAGCTTGAAGAGGGAAAAGCTCCAGTTGGGAGAGAGCAGGAGACCAGTGCCACCTCCTCTGCCAGAGGGTCTGGGTGTATGGGAGAAGGAATATGCTGTGGAGAGAGCTGCTGGGGTGGATGTGTTGGATGGAGTAATCCAGGTCTCCGTGAGAGCAAGCAAATCCAGAGACTGCAGGGAAGCGTAGCCAGAGATGAAGTCAGTCTTAGGAACAGCTGACTGGCAGTTACAGGCCACCTGCAACTAGCTGTTGGATCTCAGTGGAGCATGTGGGATAGACGAGAGCAGGCCGGTTATATCGATTAGAAGATACACGGGGCCAGTGATAATTGCGAGAAGACACATAAACAGGAATGGAGAAAATACACATGATTATTGCATGAGGGGCTAGAAAACCAAATGAAATAAAAATAAAACACCAGCGATACTTGGCTCAATTAAAGAAGGATTTGCCTCCTCTTTGCCTCCCTACATGATATGAGTTGAACCCTATGTGGTGGTGCTTACTGGAAACCGCCACATGCAACTGTCTCGGATGTTAATTTAACATTTTCTCATCACATAATGGATGAGTCCCTGACCTCTTTTGTAAGAAAGGAAGAGTTTTTCTCTGTTTCCAACCAAATACATGGTCATTACTCATCATCCTCCATCTTTAAGCTACAGACAAACAGATAAAATCACTATTGTATTTGCTAAACATTTGCATGTCTAAGGAGTGCTTATCTTCTGCAGGTGATTTGTTATTCAAAGTGCTGCAGGTAACCCTGCCCTTCAAATAATGTGTTTGGTGATTTAACAGGTTTCAGTAATGATGACTTTCTGTGAATCATTGGAAGTGCAAGAACATCAGAAGCATCACATTTTATCTTAACATGATCATTTCTGTTTCCCAGGCCTCGAAACAGCACAGACTGAAGCGCTACCACAGCCAGTCCTATAGAAATGGCTCAAAGTGCGACCTCATTGGAATTCCAAGAGAGACTGAAGTCCGGGTGAGACTTTTGAATCCGGGATAGATTTGTACCCTTCTGCTTTGGCTAAAACTGTATTTGAAGTTGTGCGCATAAGGCTGATATGACCCTGACATGAGTATGGATCATTGTTTATATCAACTAACTTAAAAAACAAATCACAAGTACATAATATAAACAAAAAGCAACATGTTATGAAGCAGAAAAAAAGAAAAAGAATCTCAGAAACTCAGGAAATGTATCTGTTACTCCAGCAGTGTTTCCCCTATATATAAATAGTGGCGGCGCTGCGCCGCGGCTGAAATATGCGCGCCGCTGCTAGGGGGCGCCAGCCAGGTACCCAAAAAAAAAAAAGAACTATTTTTTTCTTCAAATTTTTTTATTAAAATAATAAGTGGCGACCCTTTTTCATTTCTGATTGTTTTTTATGTGGATTTGTAGTATTTGTGTTACTGTATGTTCATAAAGGTGCATTTTTGCTAAATCTTGAGACACTGCCACTGTATGTACTAGACAGGGCCGATTGCTGGCACAGGCGACATAGGCGGTCGCCTAGGGCGCCAGATCTGGGGAGCGCTGCGCTGGTAGCTCTGGGAGCGAAAAAACATTTTTGACCGTTGGCGCTCATCCTAATTTTCGGCCTTGATGTAACAACATTCATAATTAAGTAAATGTAACACCCTTTTCATTCCGGTTGCACTTTTCATTTGCCCTGTACGATGGGTGATGAAAGTGGGGGATGTTGGCTTATCAGGCGCCCGCAGCCAAAGTGCGAGCATGGGAGCGAGAGAGCGAGCGAGGAAGAGGGAGAGAGAGGGCGCACCGGGACCGGCACTGTTGTTATTTGAATCTGGTGCTAGCTGCGCTAACGGATATAAGAAGTAGATGTTTCTACAACCAGGGTGGAGGAGAGCTCTCTTGTCAGACTGAGAGGCTCAGTGAGGTAAAGGACTCTCTGAGTGTTTAGATAGTTAATTTTAGTCTAAGTTATCTCAGTGGGTCTCAAACGTTTTGACCACAAATTATGTAAACACATATTTCCAAGGCACTCCTTTATAATTATTAGGATAAATACAAACAGGTTTGAAATATTTCCAATGTATACTATAGGACAGTAATCCAAAAATATCGTTTAAAGTTGGAGAGATACAAAAATATGCCTAAATAAATCAATGTTAACTAGGTAAAATAAGATATGAATGAACAACAGAAATAAAATAAGTTAAATTTATTTGTTATTGGCTATGGTAGGTTATTGGTTATGTTCACATACTTATTTGATTATTAAAATGTAAACCGATCTTTTTCATATGGGTGTTTTAGAGTCGTACCCCCTAGATCAGGGGCCGTATTCACAATGGATCTTAGGGCTAAAAGTAGCTCCTAACTGGCGAATTTAGGAGAAACTCCTAAACATAATGGGCATGTGAGTCTTAAATTTAGGACTCCTAATTGTATTCACTAAGAGCAATTCACAAAGTATTTTAGGCCTAAAAGTAGCACCTAAGTTTAGGAGAGCTTAAAAGTCCTCGAGAGGACTCCTAACTCAGTAAGACCTATTCACAAAGAATCTGAAAATGGCTGCGAGACGAAATGTTTTGGAGACAATGGAAGACTGTGAATTGATCAAGAGATATAGGCTAAATCGTGAGGGTATCAAACTTGTTGTGGAATTAGTGCGGGATGCAATAACATCCCGACTAACAGGAATAACCCTATTAGTCCGGAAATGGTTTGGTTTATGGCACGGCTGACTGATGGTTGCGATATTCCTAAATCGTCGGCATTGCAAAGTTGCATTTTCCCTGTTGCTAAATATCGTAGTGTTGCCAAACATTTTATTTCCGGACTAATAGGGTTATTCCTGTTAGTCGGGATGTTATTGCATCCCGCACTAATTCCACAACAAGTTTGATACCCTCACGATTTAGCCTATATCTCNCAGGTCAGTCTCTCATCAGTGTGGTGTGTGTGTGTATGTGTGGTGTGTGTGTGTTGTGTGTGTGTGTGTTGTGTGTGTGTGTGTGTGTGTGTTGTGCTGTTGTGTGTTGGTGTGTGTGTGTGTGGGTTGTGTTGCTGCTGTGCTGTGTGTGTGTGGTGTGTGTGTGTGATGTGTTGGTGATGTTTGTAGTTGTGTGTTGTGTGTGTGTATGTGTATGTGTGGTGTTGTGGTGTGGTTGTGTGTGTGGTGTTGTGTTGTGTGTGCTGGCCATAATCTCCGGCTTAGGAAGGTCGTATCAACGTACTCCCGTCTCTATCACCCCTGACAGCGCCGAGCTACGAGTGAAAGAACTGACTTTACTGTGAGTTCAGTTTCTTTCACTTCGTAGCTTTAAAGTCAAGCTTTCAGGCTTAAGATTCACCCTGGTAATAGAAACATGTGATGGAGCAAAAAAAATACTGGCCCCTGACTTCCAGATTGTTTATTTCACCAAAACCATCTAAAGCTCCATTGGATGAGCCATTGGAAAAGTATTTCAAAAATACTTTGGCCACGCGTGATTGGATCAATTCTGTCTATCACCCTTCTATCATGCGGCCCTTTCTGATTGGTTAACAATGGATCTTGGTTACATGTGGAGCACAAGCACTTCTGATGTGTGGATGACTGACACACAAGGAAACAAATTAAAAAAAATGTGTGTGTTTGACGATTCTCATATGTACATTGATGTTTAGATGCTCATAATTGTACAAAGCCTTTCGTAATACATTACGTCACTATTGGGCCTATGCTAATAAAGCTATTTGATTGAATGATGTTTCTTATGATTTTACATCACAAGGCTAACTTCTTTTGTTTATTCCCTTCTTAGAAACATACACGCAAATAAAACCTCTCGCTTGCACAAAAGACTCCGCCCATGCACTACCTTGTTTACTTAATGGTATTTGGCAGGAAAGATTAATCAAAACGCTCCAAAAAACACTTTGCGTTGACAAGGCATGTTACACATGTCTAGTGTCCAAAGGAAACGGGCCTCTTCTCCTGGCAACAAGTCAGCTGGCTCTGTTCCCAAGCACTTGGCCATCATTAATCCGTCTCACTATATAAAAGCGTGTATCTCATGTAAATGTTTCACTAAAGCACATTTCCATGGCATTAGTCCCAAAAAAGACTTTCAACCAAGATACCAATAAATAGTTATTTTTTGCCAAAATGTTAACTGATTAATTGAGCAACGCTATTGCTCAATAAACTTTTTAGTTTATGACTGTTGTTGTTGGTGAATCATTAAAGATATTAGAAGACTCTCAAACAACTGTTTAAATACTTAATATATTCCCAGAATCAGTCTCAGCAATCAAAAGCCTTTTTTCGTCCACAGGCCAGGGGAAATGTATCGCGTCACACGGGCAGGTACAGATAAAAAGGCAAAAGTTAAATACTTCTGCATTCAAAATTGAAAAGCCCACGTGCGTCTTCCACAAGCTGTGGTTGCGTGAGGGCCAGAAATGGGAAACTTCATTGGCTGACAAAATGAGCTCCCAGTGACCCTGGATTGCGGAGCCTTTATCTCAGCAAAACGGAGGATGAAAACAATTGGAATAAAAGAAATAAGTGGCAGGACCTAAATTACAGAATAGACTTGCACTCTATAAAAAACCTAAGTGGCGTCAGTATTTGCTTCATCTTTCTATTGTCACAAGTAAGCGTCTAAAGACCAGAGAAGTTGGCTCCGGTTAAAAAAGTTATAGTAAACAACTTTAGACCGCTGATATCAGGATATCTGAAACAAACCAGGATGAGACGCCGGATGCATGGATTGCCTGAATAAGGAACAGTTCTTACTGCCAAGCCAGTGTCCCTGTTTCTTCTGCAGGTGAAAGCTGCTAAACAGATACCAGTGGCAGGAGGGAGGCAGCGGACACAACACTGCCAACAAACATCATATATAGCATATATATCAAGCCTCATAACCTTCAGCATCCATCTTGGTTGAATTCCACATATTATTTGTAAATTACAATAATGAGTATTTTATTCCTGTACTATTTATCTTAGATTCCTGTTTTTAGCTCATCTTATTATTTATATGTATATAGGTTTACTTCTTAGACATTTACCTGTACATTGGTCTTGGCAACATATCTATTGCACTATTTTATATCAGTTTTCTTCTATATCTTATCATATATGTATGGGTTGGCATTGCCTGAAGGAGCCTGGGACTTAAGGTCCCATCATGTCATGGCCATTTCTTACTGATCATAATTCCATTGTTGAAGCGTCTACTAGAAATACATTATATGTTCAATTTTCCAAACTCACATGGTTTTCTCGTACGGCATCTCTGTTCATAGTATGTGTATTCAACTCTTGTCCTAAACGGACTTGTTGGAGCCCTTCCTGCCCCCCCCTCCCTGTGAGCCCAAGTGGCCCGTTGCTCTGCGAAGACACAAGCAAAACCCAGCCCCGAAAACCACACCACACCGCAGCCTGGCTGGGAGTTGTGTGTGTGCTTCAGGCTGAGTTCCGCGGTGTCTCACGGACCCTACAACCATGTGAGCCAGCTCACACTGTCCGCTCCTCGCAGCAGCGAGCCTCGCAATGTCCCGCCGAGTGTGTGTGTGTGAGGAAGTCCACGGATTGGTCCAAACGTAACGGCTCCGCGGACGTAACGTAACGGCTCCGCGGATTGGACCAATCTGCGGAGCCGTTACGTTACGTCACTATACCCAAATACGTCACTATACCCAAGAAGTAAACAATGGAAAAAGAGAAATCTCCAACGAGGCGTTCTGGGGCAGTATAGACAGGTACTTTCTGTGTTAGACTTTTACTCGCTACAGGCCAGGGTGTACTTTGAGGGTTTGTGACTGCAGACCGTTTACATGCAGAAAAAGCTACATAACACACAAGGGGACGGGTAATAACCAGAAAAGCATGACATGGGACCTTTAAGATTTCCATTGCCATTACTACACTGAAGCTACTCTACATATGGCATTAACACCTTTGAATCTGTGGATGTTTGAGGTTGGTGCAGGTGGGGGAAACAGCTGGGGAGTTGGGACAA